AAAAAAAATACTAATAAATTTATCATTTTAATTTATTTTACAGCAAGGAGATTGTGTCATCAGTAAGGTGCTGACCTTTGATCTTTCTCAGTATCCAGACGCCAATCCTAATCCTAATGATTAGGTTGTGTTGATCTGAATGAATTAGCAGACAGCTGAGTGAATGATTAGTACTTTTTAAAACATGACTATAATCATTGATGTTGACTTTTATTTCAATGCAGAATGTAGCTATATAATGTCTTCGGTTGTATTCCTAATAGTGTGCATGATTGTGTAAGTATTACAGCAACACTCCTCTTTAAAAAAAAGGCTCATTTTACAACCTTCCTAGAGATAAAGTTCAGTTTTACCATTTTTTAAAACCTTTCACCAGGTCTGGCGGTTGCATTTAGCTTAGCATAGATCATTGACCAGTAGCATCTCGCTCAAAAATTAACAAACAAGTTTTGATAATTTTCCTATTTATTTTTGAAAATAGGCTTATTTTACAACTCCCTTAGAGGTAAACAGTTGAGTTTAACCATTTTTGAACCGATCTTCAGGTCTGGTGGTAGCACTTAGCTTAGCTTAGCTTAGATCATTGAATTGGATTAGACCAGGAGCATCTCGCGCAAAAATGAACAAATAAGTTTAGATAATTTTCCTAATTATTTGGTAAAATTTTTTTTTTTTACAACTCTGCTAGAGGAAAACAGTTGAGTTTTACCATTTTACCATAGCATAGATCATTTAGAGTTACAATGTGTACTAAGACTAAGAAGCTGCTATTTTCTAGGCCAATATGGCTATGAACTATACACCTATTCCGCTGTGTAATATCATTGCGAATTTCCTTGATCACACTGAAATGAGGGTAAAGTTCTTAGTCATACTGCATTGAAAATAGCAACATTTCATTTTACATCATTCTAAGTACACAATGTTACTACAGAAGCAGCTTTAAATAGGAAAATAAAGGAATAGGAACCTTTTTTGAAATTTTTGAGTGACATGGTAATGTTCCAATCCAATGTTTAATGATCTATGCTAAGCTTGCTAAGACTGGTTACTCCCTGAAGTCTTAGTCTGAAGCCGTACTCACACTATGTACAGTTGCCTCGAACCGGGCCAAAGCACGCTTGTCCCTCTCCCGTCTCCCCCGACGGCCCGCACTCTCACTACAATCGGGCCTGGGCACGCTTATGTCATCGATGCTGCGCTGTTCAGTAGAGAAGCGCTCTCGCTCAGCACAGTGGAGATTTCTCTATTTATATCGTTTAAGTCGTTTGATATGCAGTGACATGCAGTCAAATATTTTGCCAAACAGTCCTTAGGGATGCGGTGACACGCAGTCAGATATTTCGCCGAACAGATCCGCCACTTAGCACTCATAAACAATCATAAAGTCCTCGTGCTGCAGGAATGAGGAGATTTGCTGAAGGTGCACAGCTGTTGTGCAGTGAGGGGTTTGCGTCTTTAATAAACTATGGCAGTTTGCGTTCATTGAACAGTTAGAATGATTAATAAATCCACATAAAAGTCACGTCAAGCCTTCAGTTTCGGGCTTTGGCGCGTTTTGCACTCACACTACAAGCGTACCACGCCAAAGCCCCAGTGAACCGCGCTCAGGCCCACCTCTTCAAACCGGGCCAGGGCCGGCCAAGTGAACCGTGCCTGAGCCCGATTCAGCGCACTCACACTTCTCAAACGATCCAGGAAACGGGCCTGGGCACGGTTCGGATAGCAAAGTGTGAGTAGGCCCTGAGTCTGAGCTGAGTATCTAGATGGGAGACCACATGAGAAAACGTCTTAGATAAGACGTTAAACAGAGGTCTTGACTATCTGTGGTCATTAAAAATCCTATGGGACTTCTCGTAGATAGCAAGGGTGTAACCCCCGGTGTCCTGGCCAAATTCCCTCTATCGGCCCTTACCTACTGTATCATGGCTACTCAATCATCCCCATCCACCGAATTGGCTCTATCACTGTCTCTCCACTCCGCCAATAGCTGGTGTGTGGTGAGCGCACTGGCGCTGTTGTTCTGTAGCTGCCATCCAAGTGGATGCTACACACTGGTGGTAATGTGGAGAACCCCCCACCCCCCCCCCCCCCCTTCTCTCCCAACCTTATGATTGTGAGGTGCTTTGGGTGTATGGTTATACACAATAATTGCTCTATATAAATACACATTACTTACTTGCTTACAAGCAAAAAGTGCTCCCGCCTAACACGGTGATCGTCTAAAGGGATTCAACAATGGTAAAAATCAACTCCTCAATTCTAGGGGAGTTAAATAAAAAAGGGTGGGTGTTCCTTTAATATTGTTGTTGTGTTTTAATATATGTTGTTCTGTGAATATTAGATGTGTTTAAACAGCTTTTCTTGTTCTGTGTAGATCTGTGGTGTTACTAATATTGACTGCACTGTGTAGCGACAGAATATCTTAGCTGCCTTTTGTCAAGTGTGCCTTGTGAATGATCCATTCATTCAGTATAATGTGGAATAAGCAGTATTTTCTTCCTATTTCTGTCCTCATAGGTCAGTACTGTATGTTACGAGTAAAATGTAGTCAAACTCAAAATAAGCGCTTGTGTTGTGTTCATGGCACTTTCCATAAAATGGGTAGAGTATTCTTCACTAGTCAGAGATTTATATGTAATTCAAGCAAATATTTATTTAATCATTTTCACTGCAAGTAGGATAAAATCATGCTTTGGTAATTTAAAGTCCCCAAGAAATCAAAACTAACCATGTGATTTTGTTAGCTAACTTTCTAGTTTTGTGGTGAACAAATTATCTGTGCATCTCATTAAGAAAACAAAAATGTTGCCTTTCTAATATTTCATTGAAATCTGAAAATGCACTTTCTGTTTGTTCTAAAGTTAAATTGTCAGAGTATGTGTATTGTAGGAATTGGGCATAGCTAACATATTTAATCACGCTTCTCCAACTGTCTGTTAGGTTCTAATGTCTCTAATAAAACCCCTATTCCGATCTTATTGAATGAAATGCCTACTTTACTACATACATTCAAGTAGAAAAAACAAGCCACGCCCACTGTTGTGTCATTTAATATTCCATTTCTCTAGGAACTGCACAGGGGCGGACTGGGACAAAAATTCAGCCCTGGCACTGTAGCCACACCAGCCCACATTACCATACCACATTATCCCCATGCACGGACATGCACATTCACTACTTATATTGGTGTACAGATGGTGAAATGTTATAAGCAGTACCAAATGTAATAGATATTTAAACATTTAATGTATGTGACTGGAACAAAAACAACCTGTTTATAACAAATTTATACATACAGTAAAACATACAGTCTGTATACCCTAAATCCTACGTTATGTGCTAACTGCTAATAATGACATTTTAAAATATACGGGAGTTCTATGCTAAGCTTACAACTGTTAAACACAGTGTAAGTTACTGTCAAAAACTGTCAGAAGTAGCGTGAATGGCGTTAAAATTACTACATTAAGTATATTTTAGAATATACTATGTTAAGTATATTTTAGTATAATGACTTAAAAGTATATTTTTAGTTTTTTTCTTACCCCCTCCTCAGCGCTACTGTCCTCCGATGCAGCAGCCAAATTTAAACCTTTCGAGAATATTTCAGTTAATTTTATGAATTTGGTAGCGTCTGATTTTACAGCCCGTTTTTGCTTTCTCAAAGCTTTTTGGCACCACCTTTTCTTTTTTACAGTTTACCTCTGATAATTAGCACTTACTGTTTGTTTGATATTCTTGCCAGATTTTAATTATGTCCGTGTAACCTCTGATTGGGTCGGATTGGGTTGGCCCATCTCAAAACCAGCCGACCGTCGCAGTTTGGGCCAAATGCTTAACATTTATTATTACTATCATCATCCTCATCACCATCATATTCACATCTTGCAAGGGATAAAATCTGCCTGCATATGAAAAATAATACATACATATTTAAAAAAAACAAAATAAATAAAAACTGATCAGCCCACATTTTTAAAAATGGTCCGGCCCTTCTGGCATTTGCCAGAATAGTCAGATGGCCAATTCCCCGCTGGAACTGTATCACAATACAAAAACATAAATAAATAAATAAATAACGACAGCAGCTTCCGGTTCATACGAACTAAAAGTCTTAATGATGAGATTTGACTAAAATGATTACTTTACCTCATAATTATGACTTTCTATGTTTTTACGTATGTTTTAAGTATGACCTTGTGTATTATTATTATGATTTAGTATGTTATAATGTGGACTTTTTCAAATTTCATGTCAATTCGGACTTTTTAATCATAATTATGATTACTGTCTCAAAGTTAAATATTATCTAAATATTAATAATCTCTTTAGTTTATATTTTCTGTCATAATTCTTACTTTTCATATAATCAGTTTTAATATCATAATTGTGTTTTGTAATTATGACTTTTTATGATTATGTATATCATAATGTTCATAATGTTGACTTTTATATATTAGAATTGATAATTATGTCAATATTATGAGCTTAGTATGTCTTGGACATAATTCAAGTTGTCATAATTTTGACTTGATTTTGACTTTGAATTGTTAAGACTTAGTTAAGGTGCATCATAATTTCATCGTTTTATTCTTATGGTTTTAAGTCATTATTAAGATTTACCAAAGCATGATATATCTATATTTTCCATTATAAGAAAAATGCATTTGGTAAAACAAAAATTAAATGGCTAGAAAAGTTTCAATTCAGGCTTATTTAGTACCCTATTTTAGGAAAGTGCCATAAATGTTACCCTAAATGTTACATGGATGGAACAATAAAAACATACCCCAAAATACTATTCGAACTTGTATTAAATTATGGAACATAGACAACCCACATTACACATAGCTTTCCAACTTACCATTACACAGTTAACACATTAGACAATTTTCACGTGGGCTTACCCTCACTGGCATAAAACCAACCGTGCTCGCTTAAGCACGCCCTCATTGATGACGTCCGCCAGCTCCCATTGGCCGTCTCTTTATTTCTTACGTTCGGTTGCCCCGCAAAGAACGCCCAACGTGTCAGTCGGCGCTCAAGATCTCCAGTAACTCTCCTTGCAGTGAAGTAGTTTGACCAGACAATTTAAACCCACCGCCGCACTGATTTAAACCCCTGGCAATGGACAATATCAAAGACGGCTGGTTCACCGAGACGTGCACGTTATGGCCCGGCCAAGCCATGAGTCTTCAAGTGGAGGAAGTGTTGTATCATAAAAAGTCGAAGTTCCAGGATGTGATGGTTTTTAAAAGGTGAGTCCTCCCGGTGCCGAGTGGCTTCAATTAGCCTATTTGCTAACTCCCGTATTTCTGTCAGAACTTAATTCAAGTTATCGGTCACCGCTAATGCAAGGAGCAGTGTGATTTACTCACTTTCCACTGAGGTGTTCATTCAAACAGCTCGCAGGTTTTGGGTGTCTTGCTGTGTGTGTGTTTTCTGCTAGCCTGCTAACTGCATAGCCTGCTGTAGGGCTGGCGTGGCACTGACTATTCAAACTGAGTTACTGCTTTCAACTTATTATAAACATAACGTTAAGTATTGTATTGCAGTGTCATACTGTTTTAATATATACGTTTATGCATTATTAAAGTGTATATGTGTATAATAATCATGTGGTACATCACCATTATTGAAAAGAACAGCATGTCACTGGCCTTTATATTCAATCTAAACACTTATTTCTGATCTATTGGAGGTCTACACACTGACTTGTTACCAAATGTGATTCACACTGTTTGTACTGTAACGTCAAGTCATTCATACTAAAATACAGATTTATAATCGATGTCTTGAAATAGTTAAATTATTATATTGGCACGTGATGATGGGTGTTTCCCAATAGGACACTGAAATATGATAGTCCTCTTGCGAGAAACCAAGTCCTAAAAATGCATATAGAGACTAATTTTATACCTACTCTGAAAAAAGGAATCATAAGTAGGTCAAAAAGTATTATTTGGAAAATGTTTAGTTTCTTTTTAAGTAAAATAGTTATTTTATTCACTTACTGCATTTATTCATTTATTTGATTGTTTTACTAAAATATATATTTAATTTTAATTCAATGCGTGTTTGTATTTTTGGTCAAATCAGGGTATCTGCGTGGTTTTAATGTCTTAAGTTTCAAAAACAAAATTTTAGGCCTTAAAACGTCTTGGATTCATTAAAATATGGTGGTTTAGGTCTTAAATAATTTTAAATTGGTCTTAATTTTCCTCTGTCCAAATACCAATTGACCTGACGTCCATCCAATCACCAGCAACCCATCTTAATAAAATCAGGGGAAGAGAACTAAAAACAATTACACAGTTCCTCATGATATTAACAGAGCAGTTTATCCCTTTGTTATCTTCCACTCTTACAAAAACTGTTTACAGAAAGGGGAGTAGACATAATATTTATAAATAGGCTATTAGGCATGAAACGGAAAAGGTATGAAAAAAAGAAATTGCACCTGATCAATTTGGACCAAAAGCCAACAGATATACTGTATATATATTGATTTTTTTTATGTAATTGCCTCCAAAATAAATATACTTTTAATAATGTTAAACTTGCATTTATTTCCCAGTGACGGGTTGCAGCCAGAAGGGCATCCGCTGCATAAAACATGCTGGATAAGTTGGTTGTACATTTTGCTGTGGTGACCCCAGATTAATAAAGGGAGTCAGCTGAAAAGAAAATGATTGAATGAATAAACTTGCATAAAAAAAAAAAGATATATATTTTTTATAATATATATATATATATATATATATTATGTTTAAAATAGTGTATACAACTACAGTTTTCTTGTTTTGACGCATTAAAGTGTTGCTAAGAAGTAATTACTGTGGCAAGCAAAAAAAAAAAAAAAAAACATTTTATTGGCCTAACCGGGCCATTAGTGTTTAGCCCTGTATAAGTCTAAAATTTCAGTCATAATGGTCTTAAAAGGGCATTAAAAAGTCTTAAATTTGACTTGACAAAACCTGCAGAAACCCTGTCAAATAAATGCTCTTTGGCAATCTTTCGAAGGCATAAAAATCAATCAAATGGTTTTCAATCATACTGCAGCAAAATTACAAAACAATTCACCTTTAATATAGATGTAAATGTTTTCCCAATACATCAGATCGTCTTAATTTTATATTTCTGAGCAAAACTAATGGTAAAGTATTTAGAAGTTTAAATCACAATTGAGAGTTTTACAATAGCTTATTCAGAAAAAATAAGCATACTTAAAAGTATATTTTGATATGCATTTGCAAATTAAAATATATGAAAAGAGATTAGTTAGGTTATTGCACAATGTCGTATTTTAATGTGATTAATTTTTTTATATTTGTTTGAATCTAATTTTGCTGTATTTGTGTATAAATATTTCATAATAGGTAATCTATTGTAATATGATTTATTTCATTCATACTAATAATTTGTATCTTAATGTTTATTTTAAATATTTTAAATTTTTATTTATTCATTCATTTTCTTTTCGGCTTAGTCCATTTATTAATAAGGGGTCACCACAGCGGCATGAACCGCCAACTTATCCAGCATATGTTTTACGCAGCGCATGCCTTTCCAGCCGCAACCCATGACTGGGATACATCCATACACACTCATTTACACACACACTTAAACACTATGGTCAGTTTTAGTTTACCCAATTCACCTGTACCGTATGTCTTTGGACTTGTGGGGGAAATCCACGCGAACACGGGGAGAACATCCAAACTCTACACAGAAATGCCAACTGACCCAGCTGAGGCTCGAACCAGCGACCTTCTTGCTGTTAGGTGAACGTGCTAACCACAGCGGCACCGCGTCAATTTTATCTATTTATTAATTTATTATTAAAATATTTTATTCAAAACTATTCCATAGATCGCTTAACACTTTCTTGTGGCCCCAATGCAGCTTTGGCCATATGTCATCTCGCATGATGCATTCTTCTTTCTTCTTTTTTGCTGGACTATCATGAACAATCTCATCATTACTTCTCTTTTCTACAGTAAAACGTATGGAAATGTGCTGATTTTGGACGGGGTCATCCAATGCACAGAACGAGATGAGTTTTCTTATCAAGAAATGATCGCCAATCTACCTCTCTGCTGCCACCCTTGCCCAAAAAAGGTTTGTACATCAGGAATTTGATATAGAGATAATGTTTGGTTGTTTAATTTTCGTATGGTAGAATGTTTTCCTTTGGCTTAATTGTTTTCCCCGCATTTCTCCCATCAGGTTCTCATCATAGGTGGAGGAGACGGTGGTGTCCTAAGAGAGGTGGTCAAGCATCCTCTGGTGGAGTCTGTAGTTCAGTGTGAGATTGATGAGGTTTGTTAAATGTAAAAACCTCACTGCCAAAGTGAAAGTAGTGTAGTGTTACAAAGCATATCCATTCCAAAGTCTGCAATCATTTTGAGACCATCCAGAATGTGGTGTAACTGTAACTGAGCAGTGAATGATCATTATCTTTCAGAAATATTTCTTAAGTGGTGCTGTTTAAAAAGGGAAAAAGAATGACAGTCATTTTTCCCCTCCACAGTTTAAAGAAGACAGACTAGTTTATATAGCAAACATTCCTAATAATATAAGGTATTTTTACAACAAGAATCATTTCATGTCTTACTAAATCATTTTAATGAAACTCATTTTAAAAACAGGGTCTCCTAATATTTTTTGTTTAGAAATATACTGTACATGTCAGAAGTATATTGTTTCAGTTTACATAAATATGTTTTTACTTTACCCACTTTTTGTTTCACAGAAGTTATTAAAGCCCAAACTTTAGATGTAAAGTTCCATATGTGATCAATCTGTTTCTTATGTGATCAATCTTGTAAATTTGCACTGCTTAATGGTAGCACTGTTTTGTGTAAATACATTTGACCCTGGCACACTGAAGGAATCAGAAACATATTTTAGAAATGATTGTTGCAGCATATCTGATTGTTTTGACATTTGCCATCATGCTTTAACATGCTGCTTAATTTCACGAATCTTATTTTCCCCCACAGGATGTAATAAATGTCTCCAAGAAATACCTTCCCGGAATGGCGAAAGGCTTCTTCAGCCCCAAGCTAACTCTGCATGTGGGTGATGGCTTTGAATTCATGAAGAAAAATCAGGATGCGTTTGACATCATCATCACAGACTCCTCAGACCCTGTCGGTATGCAGCCCTTTGTGTGGCGTTGAAGTTTCTTCTTTGCATTGGTAAATAATGATTTACAGTTTGCCTCCCAGAAAAACACAGTGTTCATTTCAGGCTGATCTCATTTCACCCTGTCATAGGACCGGCTGAAAGCTTGTTCAAAGAGTCTTACTATCAGCTCATGAAAACTGCACTTTGTGAAGGAGGAATTCTCTGCTGCCAAGGTTGGTTGAATTGTTGATCTAAAAATAAAATGAAGAAAATGAGTGACATGCATATGGTGAGTTTGTAAATTTTAATTTTACAGGAGAGTGTCAGTGGCTGCATTTGGAGCTCATCAAGGAAATGCGGACCTTCTGTAAAACCCTATTTCCTGTAGTGGACTATGCATACTGCACCATTCCCACGTATCCAAGTGGACAAATCGGCTTTATGCTTTGCAGTAAAAATTCGGTAAGACTTTTGACTAGTAAGTTCTACTAAAGTTTTCTATTTCAAATAAATGCTTTTTAACAAAATTTTCTATTTATAACAGAATAAAAATGTTTCTTAATTCCTCACAAAATATTATACAGCACAGCTGTTTCAATACTTGTTTATAATGTTTCCTAATCGCCAAAGCAGCACATTCTGATTTTGCCATCACAGTAATGTTGCTTTTTAAAATGTATTCAAATAGAAAGCTCGTTGAAAATATTTTACTAAATTGTTGTTGAGCATAAGAGACTTTATTTTATTAAAATCTTACTGAAATAAATTATAAGTACCTTCTACCTCAGAAAGTAATGTATTTATCGGAGGAACCTTTTTGCTGTTCTTACTAGAACTATGGGAAAAAGTACTCACCTTTTTTGGCGTGTTAGTTCTTGCTGCACTGGGAATGATTTTAGTTATAGGACATCCATTTGGGGAATTAAATAAGCTTCTACTTCAGAGCAGGATCTAATCCAGCAAAAAAGTAATTGCACATTATAAATTACTTGTACAATTATCCTTTTTTTATGGAAATCAATAACCATAATAATCAAATCTAATAAAAGTAGGGCTCTCTTGAAACTGGTGGTCATGTATATTTTAAAATATATATTTATTTTAGTTGTTTTGGGATGTGAGTGTCTGTAAAGTGGAAGCAAAGCTGGAGAGAGGGTTTATGAGATCAAGAAAGTCTCTGTGAGCTAGAATTGTAACTTGGGATTCCTGAAGCACAATTATGATAATACCCTTTTTCACCAAACAACCTACATTGGCATCCAAACAGCACATCCAATGTGTTCATACAGCGCTCTGTAATTTAAATAGACAGATTATGAGTGAAAATTACCTGTTCATGCAGTAAGCTGTAATTTGAATAGACAGATTAGAATTGATAATGTGTTCAACTGTGTTCCGCTGCTTTCAAATAAGATGCTCAAAACCGTTTCTGTTCATCTTGGTCATTTTGACCCCACCCTCATCCCCTTAGTCAAGCGGTTTTTCCTTGTAGACCAGTAATGCTTTGGTCCTACTTATCCACTTTTTCTAGTTTAGAGCCGGTGGTTTGGGTGTTGACGGAAAAAGAGCTAATTTGGAGTGAATCTCCGGCTTTATACCATCATTTGAACTGACTTTGTGTAAAATGGAGCATAGACCACCGGGAGCATGACGTGCTTGTGAAACCAGTAAGATCCACAAGATGTCATCACCACCCTATTATGAAACATCAAAATCCATTGCTGAGTTTTCTTTCTTAGTAGTGTTTGATTTTGATTGCAGTGCTTGATTATTTAGATTTCTTAGTGATGGGGTGAATGCAACCAGGTAAATAGTCCAGTGGACATTATTTCTCGGGGAACTGGGCCTGGTGACTAGTTCCTATAACTAATCACTGTAAATCCCCTAATAATGTTTATTACCAGTATGTTTTGTTGTTTATTACAGAAAACAAATTTCCGTGAGCCACTACGAGAACTAACAAGAGATGAAATTGAGAGCATGAGCCTGAAATATTACAATCCTGAAATCCACCGTGCTGCTTTCATCCTCCCAGAATTTGCTAGAAAGGTGAGATTTGGGCTATTTGTTTTATATTCACTTTGCTCTTTACTTTGTGTAAGAACAACCTGAATAACCTGCTGTTTACACAGGTACTAAGTGAAGCATAAAGGGCTTGATGGGTGCCATCTTGTCAACACGCTGCCTTCTGTGAAAGCAGAACAAAACCTTCACTACAGCTTTGATAGCTGCCACAGCACATCCCTCTCCAGCTAATGATTGGTCAACGGACTGCTACAAGTGCATATGCCTTCTGTGGGGAAATTCTCTGGTTCTCTGTTCCATCAGTGCTTCTGCCAAGTCTTATAAGTTATTTCGGTTTGGTCCTCCCACATCACAAATTTCTGAACTATACAAACTGACAATCAAGCATGTTGTTTGACAGATACCACGGTCTTACTTTCTCTTACTCGTGTTGAGTAATGGAGTGCAACATTTCACTACATCTGTCTTGTTTACATAAGTTAATAAATAAATAAAAAACCATGCAGGTATTTTAAAGGGATAGTTTGCCTAAGTATAAATAATTGCTGGTAATATACACACCCTATGGCAGTCCGAGATGTAGGTGTATTTTATTGTTTTTTTCTTTCAGTATAACATTAATGGTGCACATTCAGGATGGTTGGTCTTCATTGATTTCACTTGCAGTTGATGGTCACCATTATTTTAGTATAGTATCCTACATAACATGTTTTGTGTTCAACAGAAGACAGGTTTGGAACCAGTGAAGGGTGAGTAAATGTTGACTGAATTTTAAATCTGCAACTGAATTAAACTCGTGTGTGGGTGTGTGTGTGTGTGTGTTCAGCAAAAATATTGATCCTTGGTGATTCATCAAATTCAATTGAACAGACATTGTCGCTTTGAATAAAAAGAAATATATACAGGCAAACCATGATTAATGCACATGCATCCTGGAAGTACATTGAGCCTCTGCAAATGGTCTAGTTTGTTTAAGGAAATCACATAATGTTTGTGCTGACACAAACTCATACAATAATAATATTTAATTTACAATGAATGGTGTCTGTGTTGAATTGTTTATCAAAAACAACAAAAGTTTGTAAACAGGCTCCAGTGTCTGGAAGCTTGCACTTTAAAATTACATGAAATCACTTTGCTTCATGAGGCTTTGAATTAAGTCTATTAATTTTGTAACCATTTTTTTTTAATAGTTATATTTCTCAATACCTCAATGTATTGCCAGGTTCTTGGGTACTCATTTTTTTTGGTCTTTCAAAATGTCAGTAGCCATCGACTTAATTTATTAATTTTATGAATCACCAAGCACCATAGTTTGAGGTAAAAAACCTATAAAAAAATCTAAATCTTGGTTGCTTTGAGGGTGCCATAAATACATTTTCATTTTTGGATAAAGTATCCCTTTAAATATCTGCATATGCTCTCTTTGAACACTCAGAGACTTTTAGGTCAGTAATAATTGCAGTTAAACAACAGTAAATTATTGTCATTTAAAAGGAGATAATATAGTACTGTTACCTTTACAAAAGTTGCTTACTGCAACTAACTAAAGTGGTAATATTTTCTGCAACTAATATTTTCTCCCATATAAATGCTTCGTGTTTTCCTTCTTAGCAAGTGAAGGTGACATGTGGGTCCTCTGTGTGTGATTTGTGTGGTCTGGTTTTCCAAAAAAAATTCTGATTACAAGAACTGTATAGTGCAAATAGGTGTTTGGTTAAGATGAAGATTGATATGATATAGTGTATTTCAAATGTATGCTTCTGTGGGATCTGTATGATGGAATGACTTTGAGGTGTCTTTTAACATTAGAATTACTGGAAGTCTCAAACATTGAGGCATATTATTGAACAATTATTGTGAAATATTTCAGGGCAAAACAATTAATGGTGTATTTTGTGGGATAGCTGAAGATGATCATACCTTTTTAGGGCTATAGTTGCTAAGGACAAACTATTTTGTAGTGACAGGTTTTACTATGTGGAAGGGTTTGTCTGTCCTTTTACCGTTTCATGATTATGATGTACATTTCTTTTTTCAAATTTCATAAATTGTTTTTGAAATAATAAAACACGTGCAACCTTATTCCATATGTTTATTTTTTTACATTTGTAAGTTGTAAGAGTGAATGTTTATAGTGGTTGTAAAGTGCCGCGCTAAGCACTAGATGGCGGTACTGTTGCAAAAATTAGCACAGAAGCATTAATCAATTACGTCAAGATGTTTATTTTTTTGAGGTAAATAGTTTTTGCTGTTCTGTTTGTTAACGTGTAACTAAAATGTTGAACCTTATGTTATCAAATAACGCAGTAGTCTGAATCTACAATTTACCGCCATACTTTAGTAAAGTATAATATTTATCATCATTTAATCACAACTTTAATTTTTTCTCACACAAGGATTTTGTTTTGCTCCCTTCTAACTATAACAACCTTGGTAAGAAGTCATCAAAACTCCTGCTGAGACAACAGGAGAATGTGGATTTACATTTTACTCTGACGCCAGATATGTTTGAAGTTGGTTGGGAAGTGAACGTTAGATGTATTTGGTAGCGGTCAATTGGCATGAATTCTTCAAACGCATTTTATCACGATTCGGCTAGGGGCAACTCATCTCAACACTGTGTTAATCTCTACAGAGCCCGGGGCCCCGAAGTCTGTCCGTATCTGTCTGCTGTGAAAAATGTGCTCAAGCGCGGGTATTAGAGCTCCTAGCTACATGAACTCAGTTGGGATGTGTGTCTGCATATCCAAATAGGTGTGTGGGTGCCAGGAAAGCTGACCAGAATGAGAACAGGACAGGAGCCCATGACCAAAGCATGTTTCATTTGCACAACTCAACCGGTAGGCTACCCTTTCTCATTCTTGCATAGTTTAATAAATTGAGAGCACACATTGATTGCTTATGCTCCACGGGACTGTGGGTACAGAATGCAATGAGAAGTATTTAAAAAGTCACCATGAGTGTAAACTTGATGGCTCATTTGGTTTTTTATTTAATTTCTTTTAGGAATTATTTGCTATAAAAAACATTTCTGTGCACATTTTTTATTATACTAGCGATTTTGTGTGAGCTTCAATTTTAATTGATTTTACCATTGTTGAAACCCTCAGTTTTGATTATATTATTATTTTATATTTTTTGTACCCAAGATGCCATACAGAAAATTTCACCAATCAGAGATGCAATTAGTGAGGCTTTTAAAAAGAGATATTTACCTCCACCAACCTCAATCAAACACAAGGCAGGCCTAAGTAACTGAAGTAATCTACACGACCTTATATAAACTGTAAAAAATGCTGGGTTCCACACATGTTGTCCTAACACAAATCAATTAAGTTAATTTAATGTTTTTTTTTTTTTTTTACAAATTTAAGTGGATTGAACATAAAACAATCAGATTGTTTCGTTTTTGAGTATATATAGAAACCTCATTTTATAAAGTGTCTGTTAGAATAATATTCAAAATCGATACAAGTTAAGATTTAATAACACCCTTTACAACATTGTTAATTATTACCAAAAATTGTTAGTTGTCATGAATAAAAAAGTATACTGTCAAAAGAACCAAATATGTGAAGATTGTGATTTAATAAAAATACATATTAATTTCCTAGTCAAAACAACAAAAAGAGCTTTAGGTGTTATGCTGTCATGGGATAAAATGGTTATCTTCATTGAGAAATTATCAGTAGACATCTTAAACACAAAATAATTTAACATAAACCTAAAATACTGTAATTTACTCCTTCAGTTGTCACAAGCCTGTTGAGTTCAATTGAAAAATGCTTGAAACTGCTAACCACTGACTTCCATTGTAGATGTTTTTTTTCTAGAATGTTAGTCAATGATTATGGGTTTCTGTTTAAATGCTTTCTTTTGTATTCAATATAAATAAGAATTTCAAAAGGCTTTGGAACCACTGAGGGTGAATAAATTCTCATTTTGTGGATCTCTTTAACCTCCCTTAAACCCAGAGTAAAGGAACACTTCACATTTGTAGTTTCAACGCAAAGTTGTTAAAGTTATGGCTGAACCTTCCCAAACTAACAGGCTAGATGAGAATGTCAAATACTAAACTGGTCACATGCTGTCCAATGGATCAATGACACTGCAAATAAATTCTTAACCCAGGATTTAGGCTTGTAGAGTGTGAACTACTCAGACTGTGACTTGTCAATCGTTAAGCAAAATATCCCAGTTATTTTCTCCACTCAGGATTTGAAATGATCCAGGGTTAAATTTTATATGTGTAAAAGTATAACACCTACTAGATTATATGCCTTATTGTGGCAGATTATTTGCTTTTTTTTTTTTTAAAGAAATGGAAATAGATTTTAATTTTAATCCATTATCTAACAATTTTTTTTGCTGTTGAAGTAAAGTCAAACCAGTCTCATTCTGATGAAGTACCTAAATACATTTCTGGAGAACACCAAACCTACGCCATACTTGCCAACACTCTTGTTTTTCCTGGGAGTCTCCCGTATTTGACCAATTTCCTATTTGTTCTGTCTCCCGGATTTTCAGCTACAAATGTTGGCAGGTATGCAGGAGGTACCTTTTTGTAGTTTTTGTTTTTTCGAATCCGCCAGAGTAGAGCAAATTTGTCTTGTGAGTGCCATTTGTGCCTGCACTTCTTGCGTAAATCCACCAGACGCCACTCTCGACTGACTGACCGACCAACCGTCCGAAACCCTCTACCACGTCCCTTCCCTAAACCAAACCGATAGTATTTTAAAAAGCACAGATTGACCAGTGCCCACCCACTTCCCTAAACCCATCCAATAGTGTTTTAAAAAGCACCAATTAATCAGCGCCTACCCACTTCGCTAAACCGATAGGGTTTTAAAACGCACCAATTGACCGCGCCCACCCACTTCCCTTAACTTAATCGACAGTGTTTTGAAAAGCAATCCAGAAAAAGAAAAGCCCCTTGATTTTTACCACGGTTTCAGATTTTACACATTCTCACCCTGTTATTTACTTGTTTGTTTTATTTTTTGACCATTCTTCGTCAGACTCAAACCCCATCGTCATGGTCAACTCAGCTCTGCGTCTCAAATCCTCCGACATGCGCAGTGAGCCACTGGACAATCTGGTAACAACAGAAAAGCCGTCCACTTGGAGATAAGCGGTCAGCTGGTTAGCGCTAAAAGGAACGCCATCATACCACCCCATAGCATTTGCTTTAAAGAGTAAATGCAGCCATACATTCCTTTGGCTACATAATTTGCAATCTCCAGAAAAGTATATAGGGCCACGTTTTCAGAATGAGCTTGTGTTGCGTTAAATGGTTACACTTGATTTTAAGGTGTGCCATGTTACCGTGTATCTATTCATCAACAACTGAGTATTATTAATTTAATTTATTTACTATATGGTTGGGGTTAGAGTGCAGGTTGTTTAGTTGCATGCAATTTCGCATAATTAGTTTTATTTGAAAAACAGGAAATATGAGTAACAAAAAAAAACTTTAAAAATGTCTCTGATTTATATTGAGTATTTCTTTAAAACATAACACTTTTTCTGAGTTATTAGTCTTGAATAGCATTCTCGTCTAATGAAGAAAAAAATTACCTTAGAGACCATTTTACATCAACATTTTCCAAAAATATTTACAGCTATACTGATTCAACCATTATGACCCTTTATATTCTGCAATAATGTTTGTTTTACTACATATTCCTACACACTAAAATCCACAGCTACATTTCCACAAAACCATAATTCTTGTTATTCAGTCCCTTTTTTGTTTGCCCATCAAAAATGTCTTGCTTCTCCATGAAGACAGCTTTCTCAGCTGTTCCAGGTGTCAGACGGTTCGATGGCAATCTGATGGAGAAGGAGGAGTTGTGCTCAATTACACTTTGTAATGAAAGCAAACCACCACCGTTCACAAGAAAACAGCTTAGTTTGATTTCCTTATATTGATATCACAATACCACTGAGTAAGAACGTCTCATAATTACAGCACCATACTTCCTAAAGCGTAATTCGCATCTCATTGCGCTCTACATAGATGTAAATTATAATTAGCATAAACAATGAAGGCCCCAGAACTTTTTAGAATCACATTTTTCCGCTGGCTCCGTCATCATCTGTGTTTTTTTTTTTCTTCTACTTCTTCTCTTCGCATCCGTTTTAACTCAAATCAGGACCATTTTTAGAGCTCTGACGTGAGCATGGTGGCGCAGTTCTCCCCACCGGCACAACGTCTGGTTTGTTGTGGGGTTAAACTACTCAATGCTTTTGTTAGTTCCTAAGCCACCCACTCCCCCACCCTCTCGCCTCCATCCTCCAACCGCTGCGTCAGTAGGGGACTGGAAAGAGAGGTATATAAGGACCCTGCCACCTGAAGCTCTCAAAGACCCAGCTTTACTCACCACCAGGAGCTACAAGGACTTCAAAGTTCCTGCTTTCACTACTCTTACTGACCTTTCGCCGCACTTTAACTTCAACCATTTTATAAGTATGCAGCTTTTGGCCAGCCTAGTGTCTCTCTTGCTGGTGCTGTATAGTGTCAGAGCAGCAGCTGTGCTTCCACTGGAGGAGAGGAACCCAGCACAAAGTAGGGTGAGTGACTTTTATTATCTTGGATTCTGGGATGACATTTGTTTTGTAACTGTAGAGCATCCAATTCTAAGGTCCAACTGTTGTAAGTAACTGGAAAGTCTTGCGTTATGGTTAAAATTAAGTTTTATTTTTCGCCACAGGAGTTGAGTAAAGAGCGTAAGGAGCTCATCTTGAAGCTGATCTCTGGGCTGCTGGATGGAGTAGACAACAGCGTTCTGGCTGGAGAGATAGCACCAGTCCCCTTGGATGTGGAGGAGCCCCTGGAGTCCCGTCTGGAGGAACGGGCTGTCTACAACCGATTATCACAGCTACCGCAGCGTGACCGCAAAGCCCCCTGCAAAAACTTCTTCTGGAAGACCTTCACGTCGTGTTAACGGCGCAAGTCCTGCAACGATCCTCGCTGATACCTTGACATGAACTGTGTAGACCTCCACTGTAAATAATACCATCTCCAGTGTCTGAAGAAAGGTCTCCGTGGACTTACTCTGACACAGTCTGTTTGTTAAAGACATTGATGATATTTATTTATCTATTTATTTATTGATCGATTAAGCTATTTATGGACCTTTGTTGTTTTTCCGCATTAAAAAAAGAATAAAGCATGGTTAAGATAGTTGCTTTTTTTGATAAAAGATGTCTCATTTACTGTGGTCAACATTGGGAAAAGCTTCAAATTATGTTATGCTGACTTCTGAATAAATATATAATTGATTACCGAGTCAGATGTGATGCATATTCAAGGTCTCGCAATAGAAAAATCAAGCATAGGATGGACTTAATTACACGTTCACAAGTGTGCTTGTTTAACACGTAATGTATTCGATTAACTGGCTGACAGTTTGGGTGGTGGTAATTTTCCTTGTCAGTGAATTATATGTAATTGCAGACGATGAGAGGTTGTGCTTGAGGTCATTATTCTAGACTAAACCCTAGTCTAATAATTATTTGCTTGTAAGTTTAAGTCATTGGCACATTTTTTCCTTTCTTCCAGAGTGCCTTTTGGCAATACAAATGGAACTGAGCCAAACGAGAGGGAGGAAATTGTTTTTCCAAAACAAACACTATCATTTTGAGACAGTGTTCTAAAAGATCATATATTTTTATCCAACTTAATGCACTTGTGATAAGCAGTGCTGTTAAAGAAACTGTAGCTTTAACATTGCAAGACATGCAAAAACCAACTGAATAAACAAATGTAATCGCGTGCCTTATGCCATCAGCAGTTTAATTATTTGTACTCCAAAGGGAAGCATACATGGGTATTCAAAATGTGTCTGCATAAATGTTAAGTTACTTGCGTCAGTGTGCCATGACTGTTAAATATAAAGCTAGATGAAACTATTAATGACATAACAGAGAAAATGTGAAAGTAAAATGTGAAAAGTGAAAGATTAGTAATACAAACATTCAAGATGTCCTATCACCACTTTATTTTACTTTAAGTACATATATAAAAAGCATTTCAAAAGCAAAAGTGTCTCATCCTGTAAATCAGTGGTCACCAAACTTGAGGGCCGGTGTCCAGCAGATTTTTGCTCCAACCCTAATCAAACACACCTGAACAAGCTAATCAAGGTCTTACTTGGTGTACTTGAAACATCCAGGCAGGTGTGTTGAGGCAAGTTGGAGCTAAACCCTGCAGGGACACCGGCCCTCCAGGACAGAGATTGGTGACCCAAGCTGTAAATCATTAAGGTTTAAGACAAATGAAACTATTTTATGTATAGAGATCTATATATACAGAGAGAGAGAGAGAAAGTGAGGATTATCCATTATATAAATAGATATAAACCTGAACTCATAATTATATAAAAGGTTATAGAAAAAAGCTTATTGCAATGTGTATATTCTCACAACTTGTTATAACCTTGTAATAAAGAAAGAAATCAGAATTTCAAGGTTTAACCTTAACAAGAAATAGGTTATATCACAATTTTTTACTTCTTATCTTGCAAGAAGTGCACGATGCACTCATGCAAACTTACAATTCTGAGAAAATGGTTAGATTTATGAGATAAATGGGACTATTACCTTTTTAACAATTTTGTTTCTCATACAGAACAATCACCCATAATAACATATAACATTTTACATTATATTACTACTATGATAAAAAAAATGGGTCATATTGTAGAGTTTATTATTCATACTTCTAATTCTTCAAAGTTCAAAATGTGAACAGCTACATGACTGTTCATGTAAAGTTAATAATCACAGCTTTATGTAGCAGCAAAACCTGTTGTTCTATCGCCAAAGGCCAACCTGGGCAATTCATATAATGACTGAATCAAATGCATTTGATATGTTTGTATGTTTGTGTAAATGCATGTGCATGTCTGTGTATATTTGACATTTTTACCGCTGCTCCGCACACAGCTAAACACATCGCTTTCTAAATTGAAAAATAAAATGATATCTGCAGTAGATGCAGAAGCGCTGACCTCAATATTCTATAATGAGTTCAGATGTTGAATTCAAATGAGACAGACGGTCTCCTAAAACTATTCACAAAGATGCTGAGACTAAATTTGACTAAGGGGCTGAGAGAACTTTTAAGCTAAGTGTAAGTGTGGGGTTGACCTCGTTCCTAATGATGATGTCAGCATGATTACTAACTATGCACACAGTGATTGGCTGATGAGAGAGGAGTCAGATTTTTTTTATGAACTTTGTAGAGTGCAACATTTGTTGGCACATTCAAATAAACTTTTCAAAATAAAAATGTAGCCATTGTCAGAACCCGGGTTTGAACTTTGTCCTCTTTCTTTTCTGACAGCGTTTTCTATCTTTCCTTACTGACAACATTCTAATTTGTCTCCAAATTGCTGTGTAACTTTACTCAGCTGATTGTCTTTTACAATTAGTAGCCTCACATGTTACTGCCAGCTGCCTTTCATTTCTGCTAATTGCTGCTCCTATATCTGAGGGTGTTTCGCTTCTCCTTTTGTCAGAGTGTTGGATTTCTTACAGCCTTCTTGTCGGTCTGTTGTATTATCATTGTGTTCTCTGTCCAGTTCCCTGGATCCATCCCGGATTTGGTCTGCCCTACTGGAGAGCTGATCTTTTGCGTTGCCATTGCCCTTCTCCTGCATTACCAGGCCTGGACCAAAAACTAACTTTATTTTTTGATTGAAACTTAGCCCACTCCTGATTTTTCTTTTTCATGTGGTGCTACTAATTTTTGTTGGTATTTTTCCTGTACTGTTGAACATTGCCTGTGGTCCAGTTTTCAGTTTATTTTTTACTAAAGTTCAAGATCTGCTCTGGGATCTCAGCAAGCGCTGAGTCACTTTCTTTTTGCTTACTTTATTAAAAAACCCTATTGAATTGAACTCCTCTGCTTTTGGGTCCTTTATACAGACACACCTGACAGAACACTCTGACCAGTATGGACCCAGCGGAGGATTCGTCTGTATTGTCTGCAATGGAGTTTCAAGGTACCATGCTAGGCCGCCATGAGCAGGAGCTGACTTCAGCACGTCGTACAGTGGAAATGTTGGCCTCCCGGGTAGCTGAGCTCTCTGATCAGCTCCATAGTCTCCAGTTCCAGCAGGGGTTAGGGCCATCCACAACTACTCGCATCCCTCAACTGGAGCCCAGGGTTAACAACCCACCAGTCTACTCGGGTGAGCCTTCTAATTGTCGATCTTTCCTCACCCAGTGTGAAGTTGTGTTTTCTCTTCAACCTCAGACTTATGCTTCGGAGAGAACCAAAGTGGCTTTCATCATTTCTCTCCTTGCTGGTCGGGCCCGAGACTGGGGGGCAGCAGTCTGGGAGGCTGAAGATGTGTGTTGTCTTGACTTTCATCGGTTCAAGGAGGAGATGATCAAAACATTTGATAGGTCTGTGTTCGGAAAGGAAGCGTCTCGACTGCTGGCAGCTCTCCAACAGGGTAGACGCTCTGTGGCAGACTATGCCATTGAATTCCGCACACTTGCAGCAACCAGCGAGTGGAATCAAGCGGCATTGTCAGCTCGATTCTTGGATGGTTTGACAGACATAATCAAAGATGAAATTTATGCTCGTGATCCCCCAGAGCGTTTTGATGAACTAGTCTCCCTGGCCATTCGGCTGGATCATCGTTTTGACCTTAGGCGTCGTGTTTTAAAGGGCTCACGACCAGAAGCCACTGAGTTGCCTCCTGCTGCCCAATTGAAGTTTGGTCCAACTGAGCCTGAACCCATGCAGGTGGGCAGACTTCGCCTTACTGCAGAGGAGAAACAACGACGATTGTCTAAAGGGCTGTGTCTCTACTGTGGCGGGCAGGGTCATGTTGCTTCACTTTGCCCAGTAAAAGCCAGTGCTCGCCAGTAATCAGGAGAGTTCTGGCGAGCGGCACTTTCATCTCCTCATCCCTCTGCTCCCGCACCCTACTGCCTGTCATGGTGTCCATCAAGAATGTCCTCCATTCATGCTCTGCGCTTGTGGATTCAGGTGCCGAGGGCAACTTCATGGACTCGACATGGGCTCATCTTAAAGGGGTTCACATCCAGCCTCTAGTGGATCCCGTGTCTGTCTCCACACTGGATGGCCGTGAGCTAGCTGTCATCTCCCACATCACTGTGCCGGTGAGTCTGGTCACTTCTGGCAACCACCGGGAGGAATTGGTGTTTTACCTTTTTGAGTCACCAGCTACCCCCATAGTGTTGGGCCATCCATGGCTATCTTTACATAATCCACACATTAACTGGGCAGAGAACACTATTATAACTTGGAAATCTTCTTGTCATGCTAATTGTCTTGTGTCAGCACCTTTGCCTTCTTCTGTTTCTTCTGTTTCTGTTTTGCAGGAGGAGGATGTTGATCTCTCCCGGGTTCCAGGGGTTTACCACGATCTGCGCATGGTTTTCAGTCGATCCCGAGCTGCATCACTCCCCCCCCACCGGCCGTATGATTGTGCTATTAACCTCCTACCTGGTACCTCACCTCCTCGAGGGCGGCTCTTCTCTTTGTCAGCCCCAGAACGAGCGACCATGGAGAAGTATTTGTCTGATTCTCTGGCAGCCGGCATCATCCGCTCCTCCTCATCTCCGGCCGGAGCAGGGTTCTTCATGTGAAAAAGAAAGACGGCTCCTTGCGTCCCTGCATTGATTATCGAGGGCTCAATGACATAACCATTAAAAACAGGTACCCCCTTCCTCTAATGTCAACAGCCTTCGAAATCCTGCAGGGAGCAAGGGTTTTCACAAAGTTGGACCTGCGCAACGCGTACCATTTGGTCCGGATTAGGGAGGGCGATGAGTGGAAGACCGCCTTTAACACCCCCACTGGGCACTTTGAATATTTAGTTCTTCCCTTTGGGCTGTCCAATGCCCCAGCTGTCTTCCAGGCACTCGTCAATGATGTGCTGAGAGACATGATAAACAAATTTGTTTTTGTGTACCTGGATGACATTCTCATCTTTTCTCCCTCTCTCCAGGTGCACATCCAGCACGTCAGACGAGTGTTGCAGAGGCTGCTGGAGAATCAGTTATTTGTCAAAGCAGAGAAATGCCTTTTTCATGCCCAGTCAGTTCCGTTCTTGGGTTCCATAATTTCGGTGGAGGGCATTCGAATGGATCCAGAAAAGGTAAGAGCTGTCTCCGACTGGCCGGTTCCTGGCTCACGCAAAG